CAGTGTCAGAGAAAGAAGCCAGTGTGACAGAGACAGAAGCCAGTGTGACAGAGACAGAAGTCAGTGTCAGAGACAGAAGCCAGTGTGTCAGAGACAGAAGCCAGTGTGTCAGAGACAGAAGCCAATGTGACAGAGACAGAAGCCAGTGTGTCAGAGACAGAAGCCAGTGTGACAGAGACAGAAGCCAGTGTGACAGAGACAGAAGCTAACAAAACAGTGAGAGAAGAAAAAAAGTGAAATATACTATTTCTATCATGACAGCGATGATTTATTCACCCAATAAAGTCAATGAAACAAAAATTAGACGAGATGTAGTCTATATTGTGAGACTGGAAGGCTTTAGGTGGGCCTAATGTATGGCTCAGTCTGCACATGTGAGTTACCATAGTCATGTACTTAAGTCATAAGTGATGACACAGAACTCTGGGCTGGCTATGTATTTACTTAGCGATTCAGCAGACCAATGGCTTGAAATGGGTTAATAATTTCATTATATACTTTGATTGTGAATCTCATTTGTTATGTTCTTTTCTACAGATTTCCCTAGTTTTTAATTGATATTTTGCTGTTTCAAGGCTGTTGTCATTGTATAATTGTTTAAACTATCGGTATTTGTTACGAGCCAGGGACTTGGAGCCAGGGACTAGATTAGTTCTGCTAGAACTACCTCCCTGGTCCCCACCAGTAGAAATATATATATTTAATATTTATTCAGATAAAGTTTCTGTACAATTGTCTTTCTATCTATTCTATTCTATTGAGTAATGGATAATTTGGCTTGGTTTCATTTTGGATTGCGGAACTTCTTTAATGCTGACTAATGTTCACTTTGACTTGAATCACTCATTCTTTTAAAATTACTAATAATTTCGGAATTGAATTTTTCAGTTTAGTTAGTTTTTTTATATTGTTTTCTTCAGCTGCTTCATTTATATAATTCTCAATATTTAAATTAGGATAATCATCAGTTTACCAGGACCCCCCCCCCCCAGATTCGCCACTGTTCTCTCCATCTTTATAAATATTTATATATTCGATGGCAGTTGAATCCAACTGGCAAACTGGCAGCTTCACCAGTGTAAAAAAAATTATTTGTCACTATATGACTTAGGGGAAAATATGGCAATTCTTCCTTCCAAGATAAGAGGACACCGAGTACAAGAAGAAACTAGGTCATATATCAATGGATGTCAATAATTCTGGTTTGTGGATTAATTAATAGCAGAGGGAAAATTAATATCTGCATTTCAATATTAATTTCAAAAACAATTTCACTCTAGTTGCATTTAGATTGTATACCATATGCTCTATTAGAAGAGCATCTCTAATAGAAGCACATGTACAGCAACAATTGCATTGATTGTATACTGATTTATTAAAATATGATGTATTTTGACCATAGAAACACCTCTGTTATTTACATAAGAGCATGCGCTACTAATAGAGCAAATACGGTAGTGCATGCAATATCTCTAACAATTTAGCTGTTTTAGTTTAAATACATTTACATGTACAGACTAAAACAGAAACATTGTTAGAAAAGTTGCTTGCAATATTGCTGACTACTGTAAAATACTTTATTTTCTCTGGAATTTATTTTCGCTGAAAACAGCTTTCTGGCATTGTGTGGATCTAATTTTCACTATGTTGTATTAAGACTCAATGCAACGTATAGAGAAAGCTGCATTTTCACTGGAATTTATTTTGCAGAAATTTGACTACAGGTAAAACAGGGAAAATAAAATGCCAGTGCAAATAAAGCATTCCACCCTATGTTATGTGACACAATAATAGACAAGATACATTCATGATTGTGTGAACCATGTCTTATAAACAAGTAAAAAATAAAATA